AGAGAAACGTTGTGACCTCTCCAGTGACGGATCTAGAAATTTTACTCAGGGGGCCCGATCTTAAATGTTAAATAACGAGCTTGTAGTTTAAGTCGAAACACTCAGTTCATATAAAAATATATTTACTATAAATATAAATATTGATACGTGTATCATCAAGTTTTTTAAAACTTAGAATCCGTATCACCTTCAAAATAAAAAAAAAAATATATAAAAAAAAGACTTCATGTATTTATAATTTAAGATCTATAATTTATGAAAGAATATGTTTTGGTTCAAAATTTGATTTGAGTTGAACTTTTACACAACATTCCATAACATTTTTGTTGATGAAAGCTTATCAAATGAACAATTAAAAAAAATAAAGTTAGAAATATGTGATTACACACACACACACACACAAAAAAAGAGTAAAAAATCAACATTTAAAAATATAACATGCCAACAAATAAATACTCAGTTTTATAAACCACTAAATCGATTACAATTAAGAGATCGAAATAGTAAATCATTATAAAAAATTTTAAAAACTTATCTAACAATTTAAAATATAAGGATTATTAGTATATTTTTCAATAAATAAATAATATTATTACTTTAAATAAAAATAACCCCCATTACCAGATTATCAGACGTCGGGGAAGACTCGCCATCCTGTTGCAGAACCAGAAAAGGAAGATGTCCATAAGGAATTCTTTGAAAGAGCTGAAAGGGATGAAGGTCGGCCAGACTCGTTTTTTGTCCTGGCAGAGCGCACATCCAGTCGCATGGAAAATAAGTTTTAACTACTAATATATTATATTGTAAATATGTTTTACATTTCTCTACATATTTTATAGTATATATTTATTTTTTTTTAATAAATTTTAATTATTAGTATATTGTAAATATATATTTTTATACATATATTATAGCATTACATATATAGATTTTTTTTAAAAAAAATAAAATAAAGGGGGCCCACAGGCCTTCCTGGGCCCTATGTGGCTCCGTCATTGGACCTCTCAATGTTACCGTAAGTTTTTTTTGGGCGTTACTATTTACCGCCCCCTTATTACTAGTCACCGCCCCCCTTGGACGATTTTGCTCTTTTCATTTCTCACTTTCGCAAGATGTCCAGCAGTTCAGAGGTAAAAAA